TTGAAGTATCATATTAAGATTTGTTGTAGAAAACCATTTTAGCGACTTGTATACATGAATGTTAGGCAATATCACTACATATTGACGTTGGACACCGGGAAAATCAATAACTACGGGCTTGAATTTGAAATACTTAAATGACGATCAAATGTACACTGAAAGTGTCTGTATTCGATTGGCCATTCAAAGGCTTGTAATACAGTAAACTGGAGGTAGACTGGAAACAATCGCTATTACATTGAGACGTGTAAAATGTAAAGCAACTAATCAGCAGTAGTATTTTGCTTAAAATTACCTTCCAATGTGATGAAAATTGTTAACCCAAAGATAATACTCTACATATTTACTTATATACGTCTGATACTCCTCCTGGATAAGCGTGTGCCGCCCACTAAGAATATTCATCAAAATCTATCATGATGAATCCTCTTCATTAGCTTTCAGATACTATTCATAGTTTTGGTATCCAACGTTGATTACCAGTGTAAAAGTTACTCCTGTTTGCCTCTTTCCCGCTTCTCTTGATTCCAAGATAGGGCGTGACTCTATGCAGTTTGATTTTCATACAGTGCCACCGATCGTCTCGAGTGTCTCCCTAATTTCCTGCTCATATGAAAGCCAGTCTGTTCGCTGACACAATGGGTTCTTCCTCATGATGTCTGGCTAATGGATATGGAGAGTTTCTTCTGAATAGCTGTTTATAAAAACTTGTTACTTTTTTCATGTTGGTTGTAATAGTTTTCCATGTTTCATCTCCCCACAATAAAGCTTTCAACGTTCTTATTAAAAATTCTGACTTTGGAATGCGTTTACGAACTGTCTTCTAGACACAACTTCGCATTTCAGTCACTCGTAAGATTTCCACATGATGGTGATAGTCTCGTCAGGTACTCCATAATGTTAAGGGAGGTTCCACGAAACCTTCCTATCTACACTGTCGAATGCTTTCTCGTAGTTGAAGAGGCTGATGTATAGTGACGAGCTTCATTCAATCGGTTGCTTGGCGATGATCCGAAGTGTCACAACTCGGTCGGCACATGGTCGATCCATACGAAACTCGTTTTGTTGATCTTAAGGTTGGGTGTCCATTGAATTTTTTCGTTTGGTCTCGCAACACTGTTGGAAACTCTCTTGTACTGATAGTATTGTGATGCATCCGTAATTCTCGCACTCTATCAAATTTCCCTTCTTTGGTATTCTGTTCAGGTACCCTTCTTTCTGGTTTGTTGGTATTTATTCTTCCTCCTAAATCTTTTTCAAGAGAACGTAATGCACCATTTTCTTCTGCGGTAGGAACTTTTCAATTATTAAAACAAAACAATGTCTATTCAATTTCTTCAGCAAATTGCGGACCCTAAAAATAATTGGCTCTTCGTATAACTTAGTAACACTTACGGTGCATAATGAAAATCACTCATCTTATCTGTTCAGTAGTAATCTATATGTGTAACAAACATTCCTCGTCTGTTAGTCTGTCTTGGTAGCATTCACATTTATATTCTGTGGCGTTGGTCATCGCCGAATCATGCATTCTCCATTTTTTTACTGTATTGTTCTCACTACTCAGATAAGCCTCGTGAGATACTTACTCCCGTACAAGTGATCCTTCCTTCTTTCTGAAGTGCGGTTCAACGAAGCTCATGTGACGTTTGGCATCTGTTCCGATGTTTGTAATTGTTGTAGCATGTTAGCTCGTCTAAAGGATACACGAGTGGTGTTAACTTGTAGTCAGGAGTGCATACGCACCGTTTCTGTTGTCTGAGCATTGTTGTTTATAAGTCACTCAAATTGTGCTGATACACGTTTCACATAATCACTTGTGTCTAGTGAGACACTTATCTAAGGTGAAAGATTCCGTTGCTAAATACAAAGTTGTTCCGTAAACAATTCTGATGGCTACCGTCCGATATGTTTTCTAATATGTGATCTTATACCTAGCATAACTGTTTTGCGCCTATCTGGTGTGAGGGATCTATTAAAATTTCTGTTTGTTTTATTTTGCACTCGGTTGTTTATTGAAGCTGCTCTACTCAAGAGCACTTCAATGTCTTCTGCTCACCTGTTCCACTGCTCATGAATCTCAGTGACTGAGTCACCTTCTGTGTGCTTTAATGGCTACTCTGCTAGTTTCTTCCTCATTTCGTATATTTATCTCATATTGTCTTCTCTTGCATCGCTTTTCACTGTCGTTTCTAGGTCTTCTACTTGTTTCCAAATAACATATCCTCATGCTACACTTCATCATCAAGTTTTCTTCTATCTATTCGACCTGTGCGTGAGTGTTTACTAAACACTGCTTGTGTTGTCTTACCTATCATTTGTTTAGCACAGGGGTAATATAATACAAGTCGATATTTTGATTGCCGATTTTGTCATATGATAATGGACAGGTTCAAATATAACAATCACCAGTTTATTGACCTGACATAATTTTTCAGCGTATATCTATTTAGGCACTCCGTTGTTTTCAAAAAACGCTAGATAGTTGAAAGTCCCATAGTTTGTGCTTTTATTGTACAATAGGCTTCTCCATTAAGCTCTAAACCTGTGCATCATTTGTTCTTTTAAGAATCGCTTTTGGTCCGAAGAAGTTAGCCGTATCACTTGAAATATTCGCAAATAAAACTACAAACTCGATTCCTGTGTAACCCGATTAATCACATGTGGTTAGACGAGTAGATGTTTACACATAGTTAACTCGAAATCTGCACCGGGAACTTCAGACTATATTAATTTTTTCACACTGAGTTCGATTTAACGTCGCGACAGTAATAAAAACTTTGTTTTGATTAGATTTCAATTTGTTTAGTGGTATCTGTGTAGTCCTCACTTAACAAACTACTAGTTGTTCTAACAGACATACCATCGTCATAATTGAATGAATGTTCCCGCGTTCACGGTTGTTGACATTCTCTTAGTGTTACATGTCGAAAGTGAATCTTCTCAATAATTATGTTCGACTTCGGACTTCGCGTGGTTAGGAACCAATACTACTACAGTATCATTCGCTTTCCAGCCCAAGTGTGTGCTAGACGTCATATTGCTGATTGACACGTATGATGAGTCACTGTTGAAATTAATTTGAATTTCACGTAAGATTTGTGGAGTAAGTGGTCGCATCATGACATATCTGCAATTTCGAGGTTAGTTTTGTTGTTATATTAGCAAAGATAAATGTACCAAAACCAAATTAGACCGTAATTAAACAGTATTACGAAATACTAATGATTACAATAGGTCTGGAATTTCGAGAAGATATCTGTCTGTCAAACAAAAGACGAGTTTGCTTGTTAGCAGCCTGCGTTGATGCACTTTATGGTGTGCAATGTAATGAGTAAGAATGGAGCATATTCGCGGGTCACTATAATTCGATCCCAGAGGTATTTGAAACATCGCTCGTGCATTTTGGGGACACTGAAGAGGAACTAGTGGAGTAAGGCATGGGACACCAAGTAATAATTTTAAATTGGTAGGTGAGATAGAGTATTCTAGTCAACTTATTTGAACTTTGTATTACGTATCCCACTCCACCAACTATCCTGATGCGCAACGATGGCCAACAGAGGCGTAGATTTTAGAAGAGCTACAAGCGACCAAAGCAAAACATGTAATCTGTCCATCAGCCTACCCGTTTTGAGCTGATCTGCGTACAGCCTAGGTCTCGAAATCTCGTACAATTTTTCTCCTTTTTACTTGTAATTTTTTGTACTTCTGTTGATTCTACTATTGAACTCATTACTGTGAATACATGACCGAGCGCCTTCAGTTAGGTGAGTCCATTAAAATTAATGTGGTCAGCATCCAATGTCGAAAACTTAACGAGGTATTTATTTGGGGGATTTATTTACCGCTACAAAACAATTCGTCCCAGGTCATCGGGTTACAGATAACGAATCTCATATAAACTGAAAAAATGGCGAAACATAGTGTTGAGGATTGTTGTAACTAAATATGAATCCAGTTTACATGCATTTCTGGCCTACCTTTTGCATGAGAGTGTCAAACCTTGAGTCATTTATGGAGTCTTACAGGGTAACCAACAGCGAGATTCACAAGCAATGGCAGGAGGATGTACAGTATATAATTTAACGTAAGCGATAAATCTATAACAGTTAAAGTGAAACGTAAGCAAACAGAATATCGACTTATGCGTACAATAATGCGTCCATATGAACACCCTGTACAAAGTACAACTAAATAAAGAAAAGATAAATGGTCAGTAACAATCCCGTAAAAACTCTCAAGTTTATGATTTATAACAGAGATAACAAGTAAACACAAAGGGCACAAAAGTATTGAACAGCTGTGATCATACTCCCAGTTAGTGAAAACAGAAGGAGTGGTGGTTAAGAAAGTTCAACCTGCTGCATTTTAAGTGGTGATTAACACATAACGAACCAGAAATTTACTATCAATATTTCTTAGCTTCCTATTTATACCCAGGAATAGTGATCCGAGAAAGGAGTAATCCAGGATTACATTATTAGCGTGTGAGAGTTGACTTCTTTTATCAAACTATGAACGTTTGGAATCTCCTATTGTAGTGCTTACTGTCTGCTGACGCCTTCAAAGTTTGATTTAACTTCCACAATTCTACGAAATTTGATGGTCAAATTTTACATGATCTTCAACACTTACCATAGAAGCAATCGAAAATCCAAATTACTTTGATTGCTTTGGAGGAGTTGTTGACATTATCTTTAGTTTCAATGACGTAGGAGTAGGCAACTTTAGGTTTTATTACTCGATCATCTTATTAATTATTTATTGTTTTGTTCCTCATGTTCTGAGGTAATCAAATATACTGAGTATCTTTCTGTAATGAAGGGACATTTCGTTAATTGAGACATGTGCTTTAAATACAAAATGTCTCTCATTTTTCTGCCCAACGAAGTTTGAACAGAATGCGTTTAAACCAGTCAAAATGGTTTACTTTGTATCAGGGTTAGTAGCGGGTTAATCAGCTTGATTTTCTGTAACTGCGTGTTTATGTTTCAAATATGAGTCTTATACAATCATCGAACCATCAAATCAACTGTACTTCTCGTAGTGAAGAAGTGTTCTCATTCGCGGAAGAAAATGGCCGCCCCAAAGAAAGATGGACACCTCTCGGTGCAAACGCAAGTCCTGAACCTGGTTATCATGCGTTTGAAGAGAATCACGTAGATAATGAATTTGACCATGAGTCTGAATTATCCCGCCTAGCCATAGAAAACGAACACCTCAACAGTTTGTTGATGGCTTTTACTTCTCACATCGCCCAGGTAATTTTCCAACAAATGTGTTATGCTAACTTCTGAGTACGACTCCTCCTATATGTGTAAGAGGAGTTTTATTTGGAAGTTATAGAGTTTTCGTCATTGTTTCGACATTTGTATTTTGTAGGTAAAGAGAATATTATTTAATAAGTGAATCTTGTTTTTACTATCCACCAAATGTCTTTTCCTCAAGATATTGTTGTTAGTAATCTACACTACCGACGATTTATTTCTTTTTAACATGGCCATCTATAAAATTCGAGGCGGTCCTTCAACGGTCTAAGCAATTGAATTTCAACCATCTGGCCACAATTTTAAACTTCGCTTACCAATATTAGGTTAGGACAATCGAGTAGTATCAGTCTTCTTTAACAAGGATAGTAAGTCAGTTAGCATTTGTTAGTTCTCTCGGCTTTTTTCCATAGAAGATCCAGCTTATTGTAAGTGTCTGCTCTTTGAGGCCGTTACCAAATGTTCGCGTAGTGTGTCCCAGTCATTAATTACTAGATGAGTAGAACAGAATTCCCCTGAGTTTATTTGTTCACGGTTTGTAATTCTTCTTGTAACGGCCTGATAGATGTTTATTTCTGGAAAGAAAAATGAGACTTGCTAAAATCTAAATGATTAACATATACAATACTAATATAAAGTCACTTCGCGTTCTACGATGAAATAAAAACGTATGGTTTTATTCTCTACACTTATGTTGTTGCTCGAACCTAAGTGCATAGATCTCTACCTGGTTAATGATTTGCTAACATATGGGGATTTGGGACTCTGAAATCAATCAGGTAGTCACGCATAACTTTCTTATTTTTTAGCGCTGCATCTAGGTAGAGGCTATTCGTTTATCTCATTTAAAATGTTCAGGGAGGTAGTGACAATTAGGTAAGCTCGAAGATAGCTTTGGGCACAACCGTATGCTATTAGATGAATGGACAAAATTCTAGCTTAACCAGAAAATTAGTTTATCATAGCTTCAGTCTTTTCACATAGTCTCTAATAAATTCAAAAGTGATCCAAACAAGAACTGGTAATTCTCACACAAAACACAAAATTACCTTGATAAAAAGTTCAAGTCCAATGTTAAATATTGTTGTGTGCTTTAGCAGGAAACTATGACACAAAATTGCTGAAGCCAAGATTAAGACAGATGTTTAGTGATCATATAAGGTCGAAATTCTTGAATACCACGAAGTTCAGTTTTATAGATGTAAGAACCAGTTTCCTAGATGAGCAAACATCCTACTCACGTCAAATATCTATGTCACTTCGAGTTCAACCCGTTAATTTATCGTACATTCATTAAAAAATATCCCTCGTCGCTAAGACAAATAGTCTTTTTAAGAATTTTGAACATGAGCTCTAGTTTATAAATATTTCCTCTTTTTCGAGATGTTCTACTGGTTCTTAAGAGAAAGTGACATTTGTATGTTCATTTCAAAACTTTTTTGTTTCTCTTATACCTGCGAATCCGTTCACTTCTAGATCATTTATTTATTTGATCGCTCGGTATTTAATATGGGTTGTGCAACATTGATTTAAAAATCTGTATCTATTTTGATAGGATTGTTCTTTGGTGAGATATTATTAGCATTCTGGTAAGTAGCTTTAAGTTTGTATGTAAACAAAAAACACAAAGTATATATTTTAATGACACCATGGATATTGGCTACATTGTTCTTGGCAAGGGGTTACAGCAAGTGTATCATAGCTGAACTTTACGGTGAAAAAAACTTTATTCTCACTGCAGGAAAACGTTTGAAAATATTCATTTAACGTCTTCTAGATTTAGAAGGAGCCGTTTAGTAAACATAAATTTAATCATTTGTGATTACTTTTTTCATCGTCTTTACCTAGCTTATGTATTTTTCCATCATTGTCTGTGGATTAGGATTTTATGTATTCATATCAGTTTGATTTATAATATATGAAATATCTATGTTACATTTTTATTGAATGGAAAGTTATTCACAAATCTACTGAAAAAATCTAACTTTTGGCACTGAAGGTCTTTTGATTAAATCTATGGTTTTTGCATGGTGCTAATCAATAACTGACCATCTTCATGCTGGGTATATCATTACAAGCCACTGTGAAAATGACATATGTTCTTATTTTACAGGTGCAATTTCGTCTAGGGCAAGTAATAAATGCTGAGTCTGATTGCAGAGATCTCATGCTTAAGTCTCTCGAGGAATTTGCCTCCAGAGGAATCCCTGACCTACAATCACTGGCGGAACAATGCAGTAAAGTTAGTTCTTTGGTCGATTTTAAGTCATTTTATATTTTTTGGTAAACCCGAATTTGGGAGCATCATAAAATTATACGTATACGTCTGCAGTTTGGAGATGAGAATAGGTTATTTATTTGACATTTGGTCTATGACTGCGAGACATTTAGATGTCGTATAAAATGAAAGTTATGTTACTTGATTTAACTTTATACGTTAGTGAAAATCCTTCTGAGTGCTGATAGAAAAAAGGTATTTCGGTAATCTTCAAATACTGAGAGTAGTTCAAAGCATCGCATCAGCAAATATTCATCGCTATTACCATTAAGTTGTTAAGTTCTGATGGTTTCATCTTTTATGACATTAGTGATTTTGTTTTTATTTTTATTTTTACTTAGCTATTACACGTTATGAACAATAAATATGATAGGAATATAAAAGCTTTTGTGACTCACTTTGCATTGATAGTATTCGCTGGATATTTCAAAATCTCCCTTTAAAAAGCACTTTTACGGTTTATGCTGAATTGTGCTGAGATTTTTTCACTCCACGTGAATCGTTTTGAACTCCAGTCACACATGAGTTATCACACAAAAGACGTAATTTTCATGAAGCGAGTAATACAAAAAATGCTGTTTTCACATTTTTGTTATTGCTGTTATCAATGCTTTTAGAAATGTTGTTCATTACAGCATTACTATTCTAAATGCCATTCACACGTCAAAAGTTATTATTAAACTTTATTTCACGAAACTTGTAGAAGCTCTAAAAGACTGGGAGTCAGCTGATAAAGTTTGGTTGGTATTATTTGGACGCACGGCTACTTTTAAAACTGAGTCCTCACTTAGATCAAGGAGAGCTTCATAGTTTTAATCCCGAATATAACTCGATAAGCAAATCTATATAAAATATTTTAATTTCTTGATAATGTTTTTGAATAGTTAACCATATCTATAGGTTGTTATTCGATGTTTTTAAAGACTTTTATTTTGATAATGGGTACATATATATATATATATATATATGTCTGTACATTTAGTTGTCTTCAGAATCCCAAGCATGTACTTCAAGTTTAGATGGACGACCTCAGAAAATGATTGAACAGCTGAAAAAACATCTTGATGACCTAGAAAGATTCGCTTATGAGGTAATCTTTTGTTGTTCTAAGAACAACCATTTCTTACAATTATGCTTCTGATGTTCTCAGTAGTTTTAACATCAACATTATTTCCTCTTTTATGTCTGAAATCCATTGATTCATATTCTACTTAGCAATCTAAATGGTTCTTAAGTATTTGAAGTTTAAGTGCTGCCGTTAAAATGAACTTCCTTTGGATTGCATAGTAATACTAAGTCCTTTTGTCCGAATAATTTAGTATTCATAATCGCTATGGGTTTGAAAAAACTTACGTTTTGTTTCTTTATTCGTATGATCGGCGAATTTTGATCAACACACTTCTTTTCCTTTTCAAATTCAACTTTTGTGGTAACTTGACTTCTTAGAGTGTTATTCATATTTTGTTAATTGACTTAATAAGTACTTATTAGTGTAAATTAATGAGTTGTAGCATCAGATAAAAGTATTCTGTAAATCGTATTCAATATCATATATTAACACGAAGCATGCACGCAAGCCAACTAAGTAAGTATCTGATATAAAATTTAAAAACGATTGTATTAAAATGTTATTCTTGTCTTAATATGTCAGGGAATTCTAGGTTACTCAGAAAAGTACAGATATCTGTAGTTGAAGATTTGACACTCCATCCTATAATTTACCTATATCAATTCATCTATCTACAAACTACCCAGTACTGGTGAGTAATAATTCAATAACATACTGATGAAAATACTTAAAGTGAATCTAACCTTAACGAATTTCCAAGAGTTTCCATATTAAGCAAGTATTGGTTAAATGAAGTAATAACTAGTTAGTTTGGTTTTATTTAGAGGAAATTCGACTGAAAATACCAGTCAACGATTGCATTCATTGAACTTTGATTCTTGACAATCGATATCTAATTATGCTACTTAGATAAACGTAATTTGACATATAATCTGTTCGTACTAGCTATGATAGTTTTATGACTATTACTAATATATGATATCTAATTGAAGTTCCAACCGTTACCACTACCTTGACGTGGTGGTCGAGTTTACCTATCTTAGTGAATCATTCGAGCTATACTGGCTGGAACAATCGTTCCTCAGGGTTCTACAGGGAGATCGGTTGGAGAATGATAACACTAAAAGCAGAAAACCCAAGGTCTGAGGGCGAAGTCGTACTGCTGACTGTATAGAGGTGTATCGGCCGTATGGTGCTTCCCTCAGACAACCAACATAACAGCGATGCTGCCTTCCCACAAGGTGGGGTGGGGTTAGAAGAGGTCGACCATTAAAAATGCACACCTCACCAACGTAAGAATGTATCGTCACTAGACTCGATTCCCACGACTATCACGTTAAACGTCATTTAACTTATGACGTAAGTTAATTTATCATTTTATATATAACCTCTTAACTGAATAAATATTCGTCTTAGTAAGTTCTGGTTTCGAATATTTATTTGCCTAGTAATATACATGAGAGAAAGTTTACTGATTTCTTGAAAACGTTAAGTTCCGTCTTGTTTAACTCACGGATTCAAAAGAAATTTAAAGTACTTTACTTTAATATTTCACTGTATTGTTACTTCGTTTATACTAAATTTAACAGTAATATACTATTAAAATTCAATATTTAGCTTACGATTATGATTACGTTAAATGAGAAATATTTTAACATCTTTCAAGTTTTACAATATTTTTTTTCTCAATACGATTGTCTTTTTAATGAATTAGTTGCCTAAAACTTAATTTATAGTAGACAATAATTTCTAAACTTCTTTTATTAATAAATAAATTTAATCCCCTGTATAAAACATAAAACGATTTCACTGGTTGAAATCATGAGTCAATTGAAGCTAGACCACCATGGGAAACCTGGAAACACTGGACGGCCGTTTCGTCCTAGTATGGGACTCCTCAGCAGTGTGCATCCACGATCCCGCCCCCCGCGAGATTCGAACCCGGGACCTATCAGTCTAGCACCAGGTGCTTAACCAACTAAACCACTGAGCCGGCATCCAACGGTGTTAATGTCTAACTTCAATCAATCTCCACAAAACCCATTCTGATAACAAAACGATTTATTTTCATTTTTTATAATAAGAATAACATCTCCATTCATTCATTTATTTTATTCATCTAGAAAATTCATTCATCAAGTTTTATTTACAATTTCATTGGTTATTTTCATTTATTGATTTTTACCTTACGTTTCATTTATTTGTAAATATAGATATTTCCATAACGCCTACGCATTTATAGTTTATAAATTTCCTACAAGTATTATACTAATTCATTTCATGTTCGTTTTTCCTACAACCGATCTCATCCATTTGATAATAATCGATAATACGATTATCCTTTTTTAATTTATCACAAAACAAAAGATTTGAGTATTATGAATCTTAACTATTAATCAATGAGTAGTATTTAAGAATAACCATCAGATATTTTATTTTTAATCTAATCTCATATGAGTTCACTTGATTTTTCTTTTAACTACTTAAATAAGTGATGACAAATAAATTAACCTTGTCAACTGATTATAAACAATTACCATTATGAACAAGAATAAATTAAGTTTAGAAAAGTAGTGTTGTTCACTTCTTATATAAAATAAATTATAACAACTTGGATTTTTATGAAACATAAAACAGTTGAACATCATATGGTTCATTCTCAATTGTTTTATCTGTTTACTGTTTTATTCCCTTTTACCTTCTGTTATGTAACAGTTTTAAAAGTGTGTTTATATTTCAATTCAAACAAAACATTTTATCCATTATTATAAAACAAACTATCACTGGAGTTTCACGTACATAGAACCACTTTAATATATAGAGACAAATGTAAAAGATTTTCGTTTTGTTTCCGAAATTTAAGATCTATTTATTGCGATTCTCTTCACAGAAAGTATATTTCCAAAGATGCTCCCGAAAAATATGTCATGTGGCTGCATTTGAAGACTGAAATCCATATAAAGGACAACTTGGACAGATTCAAGTTACTGTTGGGCAAAAATAGGCAATCAACAAAATCAGCAAATCGACTGAAGTTTGAACAATTAAACAACTATATTCTGACTCATTCAGTGAGCGGTATTGTGGGATTTACTACAGTGTAAACATGTGATCTTCAACCTGTGATTACAGTTACATTTGGAATTGCAAACTAGGTTGAGATAAATACCCTGTACTGGTTTATTTTGAGTGGTTTACGAATTACCGGTAGTTAAAATTAAATTATCTTACTGTTTAAAAATACCTACTAGCAAAGAAATGACTTTTATAACACAATGGTTTTAAATTTTATATAGTGATTGTGATTTTATACTCCGCTTAACAAGATATTTGTCAAATAACAAAAAAGACAATACATATACAAACGAAGAAGTACAGCAGGATAAAAGATATTTATAATATTTATAATAATAGAAGGATACTTTAGGAAACGATCGAAAAGTTCTTTTATGTTACACAGTTTCTTGAGTCTGTAGGAATTTTTGGGAATTCTCACTAAGGTCGCTTTAAATTTTGTGGTCTTCCCCAGTACCAACGGAAATTTTATCGGTTTATTTATAAAGTTCATTGGATCGTCTCAAACTATACAAATTTATTGTGAATTTTAGGAATTCCCCTAGAGTCATTGGAAATTTTGACCAGAAACTTCAAACCAATGGAAACTTTATATTGTTTTGTCGCATTTTCCATAAATGTCCACAAGGGTTTTAGTAAGGTTTCCCATAAATTTCCAGGAAATCGGTCCAATTTCTGCAAAGTTGTGAATTTGGACTTTTATCTTTTATGTGACGTTACTGTATGGGGAGAAGTAAAAAGAAAAAGAAAACCTGACTAATTCTGGACTTTATTTAATAATTGTTTCAATGATCGTTTAAGCCATTTAACTTTAATTTATATATCACTAAGAATTTGACGATGAAAAATCCAGTTCAGTTGATTTTTACACTTCTCTATTTGCAATTAATATCGGCGAAATCCTTGATATCAGAGCATTTCAAAACACCTTACGTCAAAACGACTATACTTCCAGGCATATTCGGTTGTTATGTGAAGGTATCCACTACTTCCGGACTTGTGTATTTCGGTCTCAAGAGCAAAAGAAAGTTTCGGATTATTTTTTATTATTTTATATATCGGAGTGTTTATTACACTCCAACAGTGATAACAGAACTTTCAGTCATAACAGCCTTAAATGTATCGTAACACTACTAATATCCATTCGAGTACTTTTCAAGAGATAATAGTTGAAGCACGCACTTAAATTAACAAAAGTTAGTTTTATTTTAATCTCTTTAGACGTAGGAATAAATATTAGAGAGAAGAAAACAATTTATACTAGTGTTTAAGGAAGAATTTATTAATGGTCAAAAATGAATTGTATTCTTTACAGAACAGTAGACATCAGCCCTCGTTGACCCTCGTAAACAACCATAAATACCTATTTGATTACCTAAATAAATTCAATTTTTAGTCATGCATCTTTCTCAGTTATTCAAATACTTAGTTAACACTCAAATACCTTTTAAGTGGGCTTATTTAAAGTTAATATAATTTCAAAATAATTCATCCTTAGTTACATTTGGGCGTAATTCTTGAAACTGTAAATATGAATAACAATCCACTGTAATTCTATTACACAGCTGAAACAAATCAGATGTAGTGATTTTTCTACAAATGAATTTTTTGCGAGTTCGTTTAATTTTACTTTATTACTTCTGGTCGACAAAACAACAGCTCAAAATTCTTTTGATGAATATTCTACACTTGTATTTAGGATTAATATTCATTACTATTAAATCCCGTAAAATTATTTCCAGATTTCACTTTTGACTACTCGTTGGATGATTAGTAAGTAGCACCCAACCTTTGTAATTTTATATAAGAGTATGCGAATATAGTTCCCATTCGTTTCATCTAACAAAATCAATTCTTGTTATTTTCTTCTGTATGTGAGTTACTTTGTGTTAATAAGAATGAGCTATTTTAGTGGTTCTTTTTGAGAGAAAAGTTTCTAATAGCGAAGTTGTTAGTCATGGCAAGAATGTAAGGAGCACACGGAATTTCAGTTGCAGCTATACAGAAACAGTTTCGAATAATTCTAAAATGTCCTTTTAAATTGTGAACTTTAATGACTTTTCGTTATTGATCACCAATATCATCCGGTAGTTATTGTTCGGTAAATTTTCAGATGAAAATTAAAGTTATGATAATGATACTAAAATGCGGAAAATTATTTTTTTGTATAAAGATTATTTTGTTTGCTTGTCTAAATCAATATTATTTAACGTATTATTCCTGTTGCTTTGTCTTCTTGAAGACTGGTGAGCAAAGTGAACCGCCAACTCAGGCTATCTTAGAGAAGCAGCGTTTAGTACTAGAAGGCCTACGAGAGAAACTTGAATTGAATATTTCCAATGTGGATAAACTTCCAGCTGCTGAACTGCAACAAGTTGTAGACAAGGCTGTCAATCAAGTGAGTTCGATGATAATCTATCAATTATTTCGTAATGAAATGTCTTTGGAATTATTATTCCAAACATACAATTTAACGTTAAAAAAAATAACAGAAAAAATAATTGAACTCATTTTATTTTATCAACAAAAGCTGGTGTTAATCTAGTGGAATATTTTATTATCAAACTTTAGGTATTTTAATATCTACAAACAGTTCGAAATTTATTTTTTTATAACTAGTAGTATTTACCAGTAGAAAATAGTCACAGTTTTAAGGACAACTCACAGAATTCACAACCTTATTTTCCAACAATAGAGACGTTACTAGTCAGCTGCTCAGATTATAACTACATAATGTCTATCTTAGTTATGTAAAGGTGACGAACCGACCATATTTTAAATTCTTAAATCTGATCCGAATATAGAAAACCTGCTAATATCGATTGAAGGATTTAAAAATGTAAGTTGTAAATGTGGATAAATATTATTAACTAACTAGAATTTTATGAAAATGTTTATCAAGTTATTTCATATATAGATCAGCAGTCAGTAATTTAATTAGTTAACTTGTTGAAAAGATTTATCAAATTAATCATATATGATATCAGGCTAAAACCTCAATATCATTTATATTAATATTGAAAAAAACAGATCGCTTTAAGTTGAACTTCCAAAACCCCGGTCAGCTGTTATTTTATGTAAATCGTAGGAATAATTCACCTATTTTTCTTGTATCAACTTACTGCGACATTACATTAACAGTTTTTCCTTTTAAATTCAGTTTTTAAGTCCTGTAAAAGTTAACGAAAAACTTGTGGAACAGTTGAAAACTCAAGTGAATGATTTAGAACGGTTTATTGATTTTCTTCACGGTAAGCTATAAGACGTTTCTTTATTGTTTCATTTACCTAAATTTTGGTTTTTTTTAGTCATAGAAGTGTTATATAAAGAATTTGTGCCTGAAAAAATGCCAGTTTATTTCCCACTAGTTCGCTTGAATCTGACCTATTAGTTTTTTAGTACCCTTTAGTCATACATATTGATGTGAACAAAGCACCACAACTGTAGAAAATAACTAATTATTTGATAGTTACACACTATAATTGCAACTAATCTTCTGGTTTACTTGATCCAAACACTTTCCATATCGTTAATTGCGTCTATCAGTCTCCTTGGATAAAAATCCAGAGAGCATCTTGAACCTTGTGTTTGAGATAAGTTGACTATAGAGTATTGGCAAAAATACCGAAATATTCCTATAATCGCAAATCTACCATACGGTTGTCATATTCTGACGATTCAACTATAATACCAAGCAGGAGCATCTTTGATTCATTTTTCAATGTATGGCTTTATCTAGATATATTTTAGGTTCATATGAAGGCATTTCACGAAAGTTATGAACTCATATCTTCAGAAAGCTTCTTTATGTTCAACTTTGAGGCGAAGAAATTATTGGTTCGTTAATGATTTAGTCGTAACAACGTCATTCATAAATTATTTTACTTTATTTGGACACATGAATATTGGTACAGGGGAGCGCCAATATATATGCGCCACACAAAACAATGAAAATTCGAGAGGAATACAAAGAAAAAAAAAAGCTAAGGAGCGCAACAAAAAAAAAGAGAGAACAATAACGAAGAGATTGGTGTAAGGTAATGTGCTAGTAATCAGGGAACGCAAAGGTACAATCGGAAGAAATCTTTCAGGTAAGGGAGACACAACCACTGTTTATGAAGAAAGTAAAAGAAGGTTACAGCAGGATCGCCACTGGCTTCTATTCTGAGCCATATCTGATAACGTCTCTAGCCACTGTGTAGCACCATCTCTCAGACCCCAACCAGGGAGTCGTGAAGGACCATCACAAGCCAGTCCTTTGCAGCTTTCTTTCATGCCACGACACCATGTCATGCACTGACCACCTCTCCGCTTCTTCCAACCAGTCCCAGAGTCGGCAAATAATGCACGACGTGGAATTCTCTGGGACGACATTCGGAGAACATGTCCAAGCCACCGAAGTCGGTGTTTCAAGATGGTGACACCAATTGAATTATCATCTCTGTGCCCGAACACACGATGCCGAGCCTCTGCATTACTGACATGATGTTGCCACTGAATGTCAGCAATCCTTCGGAGACAGCGATGATCGAACACAGAGAGTCGTCTAACGTCCTCAACTCGGAGAGGCCAGGTTTCACAAGCATAGAGCAAAACTGCTCTCACCGACGCGTTGTAGATCCGACCTTTTACGGCCAGACTAACATCACGAAGGCGCCATAGATGGCCCAGATTGGCATAAGCCGCTCTGGCTTTCACTATTCGTGCATTGATCTCATCACTCACACCCCCACCAGCACTTATACAGCTACCTAGATACACAAACTTCTCGACTACGTCTATCTGTTCACCATCCAGGGTGAGTACAGGATTGGAATCCTGCCAGTCTTGTAGGAGTACTTTGCACTTCGAAGGTGCAAAGCACATACCATACCTACGGACACTGATTGCCAACTGATTAAGTGCGGATTGCATGCCTTGGGCATTATCGCACAGTAAGACAATATCGTCCGCATACTCAAGGTCGAGAAGTCTTTCTCCAGGCAACAGATCCACACCACCATTACTTACATTCATCAGAGCTGTTTCCAGAATGTCATCGATGACAAAGTTGAAGAGGAATGGTGAGATTGGGCAACCCTCCCTAACCCCACTACTCGAATGGAACAATGGAGAGAGGTGGTTGTATGCCCTCACTCTGCCTGAGGTGTTTTTATATAGGGATTTTAGGATGTTAATAAACTTCTCAGGCACACCCTTCTTCAATAGACAATCCCAGAGAACAGTTCTGTCCAACGAATCGAAGGCAGCCCTGATGTCAAGAAACACTACGATTGTTGGCCTTTGATAAGTATGGCGGTGTTCTAACATTTGGCGGAGGGTGAAGATATGATCAATACATCCTCGACCAGAACGAAAACCAGCCTGCTCCTCGCGAGTCAATCTTTCTCGGGTTTTGAACAACCTACGAAGTATGACGGAAGCCAATAGCTTGGACGCAATCGGAAGTAGACTTATCCCCCGATAGTTGTTACAGGAACGACGTGAACCCTTTTTAAAGATAGGGACAACTATCGACTCATTCCATGACGTTGGCACACTCTCTAGTTCCCAAACCTTTGTGAACAACGTCGTCAATTCCTTAGTCAAAAAGTCACCACCATCTTTAAAAAGAGCCGGAGGTAAGTCATCTGGGCCAGGTGATTTGTATCGCTTCAAGAGTTGGAGTTCCTTGCGGACTTCCTCCTCGTTTGGTGGATCAGTCGTCACCGGCCATGGAGGGCAGGACAGTCTGACTGATGTTGCCTGAGCAGCAGGCCAGTTGAACTGCCCTTCGAAAAATTCTGCCCACCGTCCAAGACGTCGATGGATGTTAGTGATTGGCATCCCATCATCCTCGCAGATTGTTTCACTCACACCAGACTTCTTGCTGCCAGTGGCTCGGATGAGCTGGAAGAGCTTCCGGTAATTACCAGATGCAGCTGCTGCTTCCAGCTCATTAGCACGCTTCGACCACCAGGCTTCTCGGTCCTTACGCAAGCTTTGCCCGATTTCCTTACATAACATCCTTCGTTTATGGTCAAACTCACGGTCACCCGGAGTAGACCGACGGGCTTCAATGAGTTGTAAGGAACCAGAAGAAACCCAGTGCTTAAAAGCGGGACGTTTCGCAAACCCACAACTGACTGTTCCCGCCATTTTCATGGCGTCATGCAATTGCAACCAATGCTCATCTATACTTTTCGGTGGAGTGGTAGCTAGCCTAGAGGCTAGCTCGGTTCGATACTTACTTGCAACAGAAGTTGCAACCAGCTTGCTAACATCAATCCGTTGATGGCGTTCACTTCGTTGTCCACTGAAAAGTAAGGCAAGATTGGCGCAGACCAAGGCATGGTCAGAGTCCAGATAGGTACTCCAAAAGGAGCGGCAGTCTTTTACACAACCACGCCAGCGGTAGCTGATCGCGATGTGATCAATCTGAGTCCAGGCTTGGGATGCAGAGGGAGGACGCCAGGTGGCACATCGGCGATGACTGTGCCGAAAGTTAGTGCTAGCCAGAAACAGGTTGTGGTCTGTGCAAGTTGCAGTAGACGGTCCCCGTTATCTGACCTGCGACCAACGAGTCCCCATCGGCCACCTAAACGACTCTCTTCTGTGCCTAGACGCCCGACCTGAGCATTCAAGTCTCCGGCTAGTACTACAATATCTGTCGAACGCACTTTCTGGAGAAGAACAGATAATTGGTGGTAAAACTCATCCTTGATTGCATCCGGGCTGCAATCTGTCGGGGCATAGGCGGAGATGACGAAAAGACATCGTTTCTCACGCCGATTTCTTCTCACTTTGATGGAACTTTCTAATCTAACAGCACATAACCGACTGTTAATGGGGATCCAATCGACTAGTGCTGCCTCAGCTCTAGCGCTTAGTGCGACACCAACGCCAGCAAGACCAGACGAAGATGCCACAGGGTCCCCGGATAAGCGCACGTAAAACAAGCTTTTTGAAGTGACAGATGTAGAGCGAATTTGCAGTACTTCGCTAGAGTCTTGAATACGGGTCTCGGATAGACAACAAACATCAATATTAAGACTTTCCAAAGACATAGCCAGCCCTATCTGTTGACCAACCTGCATAAGTGTGCGAACGTTGAAGGCAGCCAGTTTGAATGGCGCACGTGGTTTCAGAAAAACTGCTTCAGTACTCATATTCGATGGTAACATACAACTTTCAACCGGACAGTGACTCGAGAACGTTTAGATACAGTCGGATTTCCACCAAAGCCGAGCCGCTGTATAAGTATAAAAGAGGGTGAATAATGTGGAAAATAATAATAATAATAATAATAATAATAATAATAATAATAATAATAATGACGACAATAATAGTAATAATAATAGTATTAATAATGACAATAATAGTAATGATAATTATTTGAATCGATTGATTGTTTTTGTTTTTCGGAGCGATAAAAGTAGTTGCCAAAGACATAGAGTTCATCGTTTGTGTATGGGCTGTGATACTGCCCGGGTGCCCAAACCGAAGCAGGTGGTTTTCTTAGGGGGCCACTCCCCGAGCCTTTGACCTAAAGGTCTAACCCACAAGGCAGTGGAGCATCGTAAGGAGATGCAATCCCATGGTAGCCGGTGACCAAGGATTGGTTCATACGCCATTTGTTCCCGCAGGATACTGGAGCCCATATGCACCATTGGTTTGTGATCCGGTTAAAGCGCCGGACATTCGCTTTTCGTCCTCTCATTTTTGTAAACAACACCCCCGCCACGAGAAGGCAATGAGTAGGACTTCCCTGGCAGAGGCTGTATACGCGCGGCCGTGTGAGAGTATTTCGAGAGGGAGAGCGGACTCACCCCACTCTCGGCCGTACCAGGGCATTCGGGGGCTCATTCATAAAGCACATAGTTTGATGAAATTCCATCCCACAGTAGTTTCTAAATTGTCGAAAGACGTACACAAGTCTATTCAAAACCTTCTACAACTACAAATTTTTTTTCTGTTTGAGTTAACTTGTGATGTAAACTACGAATATTTAACAATCTCAACAAATCCCTATACTGATATTAGCGATTGCGTCGAGATTTGTCAAGTGATTTACTTGAAATAACATCTTTTTAAGGAACTTATTTCAAGTAGGGCACTTATAGAGTGTAAAATGACTCAAAACAGTGGCAACACTACTATGTAGTATCAAGTGAAAAAGTATTTATTTACTCGTTTGAGGGAAACAATAACTGGATTATGTACATGACAATATTCCTTTTTAGCTTACTAACAGGCATTTTATTCTTATTTTTTACTGAAACTTGGGTTGAGTTTCACTATACTAAAAGAAAAGCGATAGATTTTTTGACGGATATTTTCTTGATTATTTTTTACTTTTTATCTGATGATGTGTATTACTGTCAAACAACTGTGCCAAGTTGCTCACACTGACACAATCAACCAGTTGTTCTTGGCTAATGGCCAACAAAGATCATGTTACATTAATAGTGTTGTTGCTTTTATTTTTATGGTATAAGTAAATAATATAGCATGTTTAAGCATGAAACTTTTATTTTGTAATAAAATATAGATCAACTGATACATTTAAATATTGCAAGCAAAAAAACATTAATCTCTAAGTTAACTAGTTTTTCGTAGTCATTGGAAAAGTTCGTATAATATGTGGTCAGTATATACTTTTTTTTGTCAAACATGAGGACCAATTCACATCTAACTTGTATGGAATTAACTATATAGAACAGGAAATCTACTTATCGATTAAAGTCAGTTGGCATGTTCAGAGATGTATCTGGCTTATAATTTTGTGTACAACTATTTTTGAAACTTTCTTAACCTTAATTAACTCTTGGGCACTAAAAAATGGAGTATTGAAGTATTGTGACACTGAAATATACTACGTAAATAACTATACCTGTATGGAGAAATGGTAGAGTAAACCATCTTAACAACCTGTAACTTACATTGAATATGCTAAGTCATCCTGCTTCCATTTCAAAGTTATGGTTCTAGCCTGCATCATTTTCTTGCTTCATAACATATAAACTCGTATAATTCAGAACACCGTAACAGAAACAATAATAGCACAAACGCGACGTGAATATGTACGTCTTTTTTGTAAATATCTTTATCTATCGACACGCGTTTGAGTCGTAGGATGAACATCAGAACTGGTATATCGGCAAATCCAGCTGACGAGTCATAAATAGGGAAAACACACTTCTTGGATTTCAGTGCTAGCCACAATCCAACGTTTCTAACAACAAAACCAAGTGCCTTTACTGAGATAATCCATACAGAATAAAAGTACATGTCAACATATATTATTATTATTATTATTAATGATGAAAATTCAGTCCTGAATATCAGCATCAGGACAATTCGAACATTTGCTGATAGTTAAGGAAAGAAGTTTGTTTATAATTAGTTGTACAGAAGAATTTAACAATTTTATTAAGGATTGTATAACAATGATAATTATAACTTATCCTTTAGATGAATTAAGTGGAAATCACGTAGACATTTCACTGGAAAGATAACTGGTTAAGCAATTATAAATTATTTTTATTATTACGCTCAATGAAATATCTCGATACAATAACTGAATAATTAACTTTGAATAGACAAATTAATAAAAATAAAAAGACTAGTTAAAATTTCATTCATTAAAGAAAAGTCGAACTTGAACAACTTTTAATCTGAATTACTACTAAATCGTTTATTTCCGAAAATGAATTTCTTCATAGAATTTGATTGTATGCACATAATTTATTCTGACTTTCATTATATTAACGAATAAGTTATGTAAGTGAATATAAATTTATCGTATATAAATACACGGTTCAAAACATAAGAATATTTGGTGAAAATATGAAAATCTATTCTATTTTTAACCTAAGAATGGTTTAAACCATCTACTGTGCTAAGTCATTTTACTGCTTTTAGAATTTATCTTCAAAACAATCTTAGTTGATCATGTTTCAGTTGAAATAATGTAACCTTAAGAAATCAATTAAGCGTAAAAATATCACTTGAATTGCTCACTTACGCTTAACAATTTAAATGAATAGCTAGAATTACAGCTATTTTGAAGAACTAACAAAAAAAACGAATCTATGTTAATCTATCCAACAGTAAAATCAAAGGATTAATAAAACAGTTCACAGTCCTATAAGATCATTTAAGCAGTTTGAAATGTTTTATGTAGTAACTAGTGATCATAGGTTTTTGCTATTTTAGATGTCATTTAATTTTGATGCTTCAAGATATGACAAAACATTTATCTAGTTGGACATAACTGTAGACTGATAGTGCATTAACAAGTGGAAAAAACCATTTACTTGGCACGTTTTTATACTGACTTTGTCTTCATATTTTTATAAGAATCGATTTAATTATGAAGTAAATCACAAGTACCTTCACATATGGTAATAATACTTTATGCGGGTGAGTAGTTATTTAAGGTTATTCTAGGGAACCATATTATTGTCAGTACCTAAATGTGTGTATGCATGTAAGTATACTGTGTTACCGTATTCAGTGCTGATCACCCAGGTGTCGACCACTTTTTAACTGATAATGGGAAATAAAAGTTTTTAAATATATATCATACTCCAGAAACTTTTCGTATGATTACTACTGATTGATTTTTGGTTTCTTATTCAATTTCTTTTAACAATATTATTTACGAGACCTTCTAATTCTCCATATATGTACTTTGGCTGAGATCAGTTTGTTTGTTTCCTATCTTACATTTTGTGTGATAGAGGCTGTTAATTTAAACACCTACCTACATTCACTTGGTTGTGTCATTACAACTCACTTTTGTGTGAACATTTGACCAATTATACTTTAAGTGAAATCAATTTCTAATAATTTAGTAACCCACTGACCTTCTTGTTGTTTTATAATGTCAAACAAGTGTGGTAACGTTTTACTATCTAAATAACAAGTTTTTTAAATGTTTAGTGTCTTTCTAAGGTCATTGAAATACTTATTGGTCGTATGTTTCAAACTGAGTAGAGAGAACTTTTATTTGTTCCTCAGTTTTCAATAGTTGTTTAGCTGAAATCATTTCGTAATTTAAGTTATCCTTGATTTAATAATCATTCCCTAATGAGATTACCAATTCTACTTTACTCATTTCTCGGTTTGTTATGTTAAGTCCTGTCACTGCCTTCAACTGTGCCATCATTCGCTCATGCTAACAGTTGAAACAAAATATTTTTCAAGTAACTATTTCATTGTATTATGTGCTTTCTAAAGTCGAAATTAGATTCAATATTTTTCGAAATTATTATGGGAATTTACTTCTCAATTATAAGTACTCATTTCCCTTACTAATCAACAATAACCTACAATTTATGATTATTCTTAGTTTATTGAGCTAATTCATTGATACCTGAATCCAGCAAATGAGTTGTGCAAAAAGTACTAATACTGTATGAAATATCTAAGAAATATTTGTTAAGTTAGTTAATATTGGTTAGGGATAACATCATGGTGCTCGTCAGGTTGAAGTTATTACTACTTTGTAAAGATAATTTGTATAACGACCCAGTTGCAGTGTCATGAGGTAAAAATTAAACGGAACGTGTGTCCTGAATTCTACTGCTAGCTACTACCAATCTGTTATTAAAGCGTGTGATTAAATTTCTATATTGGGGCAATCCTTTGAGGGTATACGTATGTGTCAACACGGACTGATCAACAGGAAAATACAAATCCCCGTATGGTCTAAAGAAATTAGTTTTATTACTAAACTATCGATCGTTGCATAATAGTGATAAAAATGAGTACATTCTAGTGAACAATACATTTTTGTTATTATCCATTCATTTTCAATAGTTTTAAATGGATTCATACCACTAATCAATAATTTTCTCTTTTATATCATTCGATAATTTTAAGGTTTCTAATATGAATATTTGTTAGTCTGCTTTAACGCTTAGTACGATGGTGGAAATTTGATGGATTGCCGAATATTAAATATTGTTTATACAGATTAGGCTTACACAGAGGATATAGCCAAGTTATGACAGCCTACTAATCAACAATCTTGAATATTGTGTATAGAATTACAGACCATCACTTTTTTTACTCATTTAAATAAAGACATGTATCAACGAAAAATAAATTCGAAAAATTTACCTAATCAGAAGTCATTGTATACAGAAATAATTGTCTGTGACAAATTTCGTTGAATTACTGGAACTTATCAATGATACTAAACCGTAACTATCAAAATTAGTTTATCAAGCCTACTTAGTTTACACCAAACATTATAGTTATTTTATAATGAGAAAGATTGAAAGAATAGTCCGTAGCAAGTAGTATTTGTCTACAAACCTTCTTTTACTGATCTACACATTATTATTCTAAGTAATGGTTAGTTGAATGAAAGAAAATCATTTTGCGAAGTAATTAACTATTTATACATTGAATAGTTCTCTCACTTTCGTAATTTTTCAACTTATTGCTTTTTATCAATATAAAAATCCACGCCAGTTTGAGCACTGCATCATTTCATTGTTATGATATATTATCATATTATTTTTGTTAATCTGTTATCTTTTCACTTAGGCTCTGGTGCATGCAGTGATATTTTAGCTAAAGCATTAGCTGATTTCAAGCGTACACATCAACAGTTATCAGCCAATAATGAAATACCATCGTGTTGTTATGATTCTAATAGATCACATACACAAAATAATGATAATAATGATGACCATGATCCAGACAATAGTAGTATATTTTCATCACATATCCATCCTGGTGTACAATTAGGACATAGTCGTCATCTTGATTCAGATTATCAACATAGTCATACAAATGATTATAATACTGATGGTATTGATGCCTATTTAGAGGTATCTCTATTTGTGTGTTCAGTTTGGATTGATGTTGTGTTTCCAATTTTCGAAGTTAACATTAATCAAGCTTGTGTTTGATCTAGTTGAATCTGAATTTATTTTTGAGATTTTGACTCATTAGCTGATTGAAAGTGTTGATTTATAAAGAACATATGAGATGCTTAACAGATATTAACTTTTAGACTATGCATACTGAATATAATGTTCTAAAAATCATAATTTTGATAAAAGAATCGTTTATAAATCCTCATCATATTAAAACACTAATGTATCCGCACAAAGAATATTCTTTTCAACAAATTCTATTCGGGTTCTACAATTATGTATCCAGACTAATAATTCAAAAAGTGCCCAGATTTAAGGCAAAGTACATTGTTAAAAGTTATAACATGTGAATTTAGGATTGTTAATCAAAGTAAAATTTTCAATGTTGAGATGACTAATATGCTGTGTTAACTTGAATCAGCTTATACGTTAAGTGAAATTCTGTGGTTTTTAATCAAAATGAATATAGATCAGATTGTGTGAGAGATATAATAGTGTAATTACAAAATCGATGGGATGTTTGTGGAAGACTATATTGTGTCAGAATTTGTCCACAGGTCGTTTAATGATTCAGGGTATAGGCATAATGTTTATGTGTTTATGTGTTCATGTAAACACTTGTTGACTAAAAATAATTGTTCTATGTATTATTGCTTTGTGTGTATATACGTGCAGTGTTTTATCAGTTGATAACTGTTTCTTTACTTTTTTCTCAAGTTTGATGTTGTATGGATGTTATTTTAACTGTCGTTTTTTTATCTTCTAGTACTTTGTTTATTTGTTTTATGTGCTTCAAATAATATTGTTTGCTTAACCATACATGTTAGTTTGAATTGTCTGTCAAGATGAAATAATTAGCTTTGTTTACGTCCCTAACCTTTTTACTTTTTTTGTTTCTTAGGATATCACCACTACCGAAGAACAAGAATTAAGGCGTAGAGATAATAGAAAACGTGATGTCAGGGTAAACTGATAAAAAGACTTGTTGTGTATTTATTATTATTATTATTAATAAGGGTTGTCAATATTCAGGACTGGATGTTGATCACTCTTTATTGGGAATATGAGTTTCCTATACAGATTCCCTTGATATAGTCATTTTGTCACAAGTTTTATAAATTAAATAGATAGCAGCTAATAAGTGAATCCATTCAAAGTTCATCAACTGAACTTAACTTATTAGATAACACGTTGAGGGTTCCAGATAAAATGTCCCGGATTCAATTTTCAATCTGAAAACTAACAGTAAAGTCCAACTGCATTCAGCTGACAAGCCCTAAATAAGATGTAACGTGTTTTATGGGTCTTACTGGTAGTCACAGTTCATCTATCCTGATTATTTGTTTTTTTTATTGTTGAAAATCGGAACTTAAGTTCTTTATGTTTACTGTATATGTTATATTTCAGTTATTATTATTATTATTATTATTATTATTATTATTATTATTATTATTAATATTATTATTATTACCAAATAATGATGTTCAGAATATTGTAGTGTAAAGAAAACTTGTAGTAATTTCGTTAGTCATAACTCAATTATTTCTATATTGCAGTTGATGACACAAGTTTGAATTATGTAACTGATTCTTTTTCGTACTTGTAAAGTTGCCGTGTATTATCTTTCAATGGTGATTCAATTTTGTGATATATCTCAAGTGATAATTAAGAATTGTTTGGACATATATACATCATAAATAGTTGTAATCAGAAAAGTAAAATTACTACATACTAAGCTGAATTAACTAGTTTATTTATTTGCTTAAGATAAAATAGTGTTTCGAAACTTCCTTTAAATATGAGTAGTCACAGTATTTAAATCTCATTTTTTAATTGTAAAGTGAACGTTGGAATTAATCCAACTGTATTTGAAAATTATAGAAACATGATACTTTGTGTCAGTCACTGTGTATGATTAGCTAAAAGAAAACAATTCTAGTTGTCTTAACCGGAACACTTTATAAGAACTTCCGTCTAAATTTGAACGAGTAGTTCCACAATAGTTGATCACGGAGTTAATGTAAGATATGGAGGAGAGAATCTAAAATTGCAAATGATTTTAGAGATTGAACTTTAAAAATCCAACATTTCGCTTAGCAAACATTATCACAGGTCTCACTTTTGACATGACTGATTAATTTAGTACGCGGTCTCACTAACAATCAAATTCCGTCTTGCATAATGCTTAGTATCATATAGTAAGTATGCATCTTCGGTTTATTTTAGAAATCTCGATTCACTATCATTAACCTTATTCAACGAGCTATCACCCTTCTCAACCTGTTTGCAGCAAGTCAATTGGGTCAGGATCCTGATACATTGCTGACAAAATTCAACATGAATAAACATTCTCCTCATAAAGGTCAGAAATGTTGAATTTGTTTAACTTTATGTATAAATGTTCGTTAACACAGTTAATTGGTAAAAACATCAACTTACTGTAACTTTTACAAATGTAAGGCGATACATTCGCGTAATTTTTAAATAGATATTAATAATGGTTAAACAATGTATTAAATATTTGATAAATAATCATTCAATGCTAAGCCTGTTTTGATCTTTCCATAAAACCCTGATGATTTGTTTTGTTAGAGAACTTCTTGATATACAGTTCAGTCGTCTACGTGCTAAAAGTCAAATAAGATATCGGTTGATATATTCAGTTCATCACTATGTTGAAAAGACTATCCAAAGTTAATTAAACATAATCTACTTGATGTTGAATAATTATCTTTTGGTAAATGTCCTACTGCAAAAAAATATTGTCATGTAATGACGCGGTGGTCATTATTTTTTAAGGACTTGTCAACATTTCAATTTTACAGAGTAATTTATTTCGAAAAAGACATCTGAAGTTATGTTTTCAGGGTAATATATTCAAATAAATATAACTGACTTTTTATACCCGTTGAACAATTATATTTTAGCGCTCAAGTAAGGTAAGACAAATAATAGTCTACTTTCTGACCACTGTTTTAGCAAACTAATAGAAGTGTCTAATTCATGTTTATACATGAACGATAGTAAAACTGGTTCACATGTAGATTAGTGATGATACACAAAGAAGGATGATTGATCTGTTCGTAACGGGACTTAACAAAAAGTGGTCATATCAGAGATCTGTAGCTTACATCATTAGTACCATCGACTTCATTTTCATAGCTTTGTACGACATTGTGTTTAAGCAGTGTTTTTGATATAATAGTTTACTAGCTTAAATGTAGTAAAACGAATAAGTGAGCAGTGTTTTGACTTTCTACACCATAAATTTGGATAAGCCATTTAGTTTGCAAAGTGGTACTGTTCAGTGACAACCATCTCATGCAAAAATTTAAGGTAATAGCTAGGGTAGGTTTATATTCGAAACGATTCTAGTCAAACAATAGAGAATTTAAGTTTAATCCGTTTACCTCTTTAGGTTTTAGACACCTTGTCGATGCTGTGTTTCCAGTTTTGACGTAACCTTTCTGTTCATTTTAATATCTCTCAAATCCTGTCTACTTCATATTTACTTGGAGTTTGTAAATTCAAAGCATCAGTCGACGAATTTCTCTGAGACGTTTTGCGTAGTTTTATCAGTCAGCTTGTCAGTAATTAACCCAGTTTTAGTGAATACTGTTGGTTATATATGAAGTAAGAATCCAAAAAAAACAGTATTGATTTCGCAGTATGTATATGGATATATTTTTCTAAAACAAACAAATATGAGTTTTAGTGCGAAGGTGCTTTTTGTTCCATAGGAGGAAAAATGGTATATTTAAAGTATCACGTAGATCTATAAAAAAGGCTCAAGCTGCCATTTAGAAAAAAATGTGCAAGAAAATAATAGTTACTTGCTAGTAGTATAATAAGATAACATAAATGTTATATTTACTGAGAGCTATTTTATGGTTTTTCTGGATATCTTGAAAAATAATTTCGCAATGAAAACTATCTTCCAAAAATGCCAAAATTACCAAACAAACTATCTCCACTATCATAAATCATATGATCAATAGTGAGTAGGTTTGAATTTTACAATTTTATTATTTCCAACAACATCGATTGGATTCAGATGTCAACAGGATATTTTAAGTGATCTGCCGTTTAATCGATACGTTATCATTATATGATGATTAACCAGTCAATTGTCATTTTACGGAAGTGTCCATTATAGGTGGTAATCTACATATTCCCTTTTTCGAAATAAATCACTATACTACTGTCTCGGACATTTTGTTTATTTTCAGTTGACAAATCGAATTCATCTACCGTAGAGAAAGCCAAAACACAACACTGGGGAACAATTCGAGCTCGTCTTGAAATTGCTATAAATATGGTTCAAGAAAAAGTGGTTACTCTTAACACTTATAAACTAGGTAAAATACCAGCAGTCAATTTATACTCTACATATCATACAATGCCAAATATGATTCACTCATGTACAACACAGTCGGAAACTCGTAGTACAGTTCCATCTGGACGTGAAAGTCCAGATGGGAAAGCTAGTATGCCCACATATGATAGTACAATTAGATCCTATGTATCACTACGTAAGGGTTTTAGTCAGAATGAAGTTCCCGGTACTCAAATTGCTTTACCTGTGCAGAATTTACATGGTGCCAGTTTACGTGCATTGTTATATGGTGGAAGACCAGATAGAATATTTTCAAATCCAACTTTGTATAACGATAAGAATGAACTCACTTCATGCACAGAAGATATGGATGACACAGAAAGCAGCTCATGTGAAACATCAGAGGTTAGTGTATTTCCAGTGTTATCTTTGACAGTAAACTTTATTTAACTAAAAAGTATAATGTAGGAAAAAGCAACAGCAGGTTGTTTTCTGGACTTGAATTGGTAGGAAAGGAGTTGTATAACCTCTATCTAGTCCTATTATCGATCAGTTGATTTATATTATCAGTAGTACCGGTAACCTATTTACCGACTTACAAGTCGACCAATCAACAATAATCAAGGCGTTATTGGTCCTCAAGTCTATTCTATCCCAGTAGCCAGTCAGAAGACGAAGGTAGAAAGCGGATCAGTTTTATTTCATTAAATTCAATATGACTCAAACCCATAGAACACTATATGAAGCAAAATCTTGAACATACATTAAAATAACTAGGAAATTGCAATAATCGCATAAGCATTCCATAAATGGAAGAGAACTGAATAACAGGTCTGAAATAAATTGAAAATAATGTAAGAAATGTACGACATATTATAACAGTTTATGTATCACGAAAATGCTTACAAGCATGGATAATGCACGACAAAGAAGGCAAAACAGTCAATGAGATTCAAGAACAGAGGAAATGACGGGCAGAACACTGAATAATTCACAAATATACCATCTACACTGAGCCCCCCGGACATAGAAGCAGCACATACAGACCTTTCTATTGATGCCATTCCACCAACAACCGAAGAAATTAGGATGGCCATAAGACAAATCAAGAGTGCGAAAGTAGAAGGACCTGACAATATACCAGCCGAAGTCAGACATAGAAGCAACTGCAAACATGCTTCGCGTTCTGTTGAGGAAAATTAAGAAAGAGGAACAAGTGCCGATGGACTAGAAAGAAGGACACCTCATTAAGATCTTATTACTTTTAAACATGAGTGTTCTAACTTGTCATATTTTAAACCACAAATTATTGCATGAATCGAATGACAACTAACGTCTAAACAAATAAAATGTATTGAAAAAGTAGTTTATCTTTTTCTCTTACTATTTTATGTTCCTTTATTAATGTAATTCACGTTTAATTTAACTGGTGAACGAATTTTGTTCACTTCTATCATGTCTGAGATTTTTCATTGTGCTTTCAACTCTGTATGTATTCTACATTTTCACACGATAATGAATGAACGTAATTGAACCACAGATCAAATGCTTATGTTTTCTAGCATATTACTGTATGTTAGATTAAGGCTAACACTACTTTTTTTCAGATGGAATCTCATTCCTAATTATTGTTTGAAGGTTTTTTATTATATTACTTTATGATTTATAATATTACACAAAAAATTATTTTACTGTCTGTACTCAAGTTTCTGTATACTGAAGCTGAACGCTCTGTGGTGCATGTTGTACGTCGATACCTCTGTCCCGCTTTACGTGATCTTATCGAACATGGTCTTATAAAGAAAGCTTTACAGAAAATTGATGAAAATTCACCTTTGGGATTAGCAAATAAACGAAGCATTTTACTGCTTCGTCCTATCCTGAACTGTTTAGACTCAAGATCAAGAAATCACTCAGAAGATAAATTTGAATGTTTAGATTTGAACGATCCATCAAGTGATTACATTTCAAACTCTTTTTCGGGGTCCCGTTCTAATTATATAGGAATCCATGCGTGGGATGTATTAATGCGTTTTTATCAAATTAAGGTGAGTGAAATCAAAATAGAGTCCAATATTTTCACATTTCAATTCCATTTTTAAGATAAATTATGTCTAAATATTCACATACAATTTAAGTTTAAGCTAATAAAATACTGAATATTTGTGTCTCATTAACACGTTTGTGTCTTTATTCACCTGATCTCTACGTTATTTCAGTTTACTGACAGGTTCATGGTTCAGTTTAATTTAAATCAGTTAACTATTAGGTTTTCATTGCAAGCATGCCTATAGAATGCTGGACTAGTCAATGAGACATAATTAAATGTCGTTCCGTCAATCATATTATCAAAGTATAGTTGTAGACTACTTGTTTTACTATTTAAGTAGCTTCGTCAATTTGAATTATTTTTGCAACGTGAATTGACAACATTCAAAATCCTGTTGAGATTTCTTCCAGCCTAATTCTGTGTCTTATACGAATATTTGTCAATATCAGAAAGAACAGTTTGACAGAAATTGAGTGACGAGTATAGAAAAGACATTATATTTTAAATAATCCCAACGTTTCGTCCAGAAAACTTGTCTAGACTTCTCACTCTGAAGAAGTCCAGACAAGTTTTCTGGACGAAACGTTGGTATTATTTAAAATATAACTTTCATACATTAATTCTGTTATTTTACTGTAAATTATAATTTTGATGACTTGATTGTTAAGAAATGACTGTATTTTATTTTTGTTTGAAATTATTGAAAGTTATGTTTTCTGACTAATAGAATAATTCGACCCTAGACGTAATTTGTAATGATAAGTGAAGTTACGGAAGCTATACTCACCTTATTATTCGACTACTCCATACGTTAATAAGATTATCTACCTCATGGTTTTATGGATTTTCTTAAAGAGCACGATAGCCTTTCAAAGGCTTTCTCTTCAGTATCGTAGAACTGTTTCTAAAAACAGTATACTCACAGGTATCAAGTGGATATTTGTCAGATTACTATAATCCACTTGGAATTATAGAAGTGATAATGAAAAATTTTGGATTAAATTAGAATGAATTCCTTACAGTTTCGATCTATTTACTAGGCACGTTTAGAGAAATTATCACATCAGAAAATTATTTCTTCACTAGAAAAAGTTATAATTATATGAAATTTTCTATTTAGTCAAATTGCTATCTTAGCTATAGGTCAACGTAACAACTAACTAACACAATGAATAATCTAAAACCGGAAAAGAATAACAAATTTGTGAAAAAAAAAGAAAAATGGTTATCTAATTAAGAATCCGTTTAAAAGGTAAGAAATGTCAAAATAGTTCTTGATAACTGTCCACTTTATTTAAACACATAACGTACAGTTAAAATTTATTAAATTATAGAGTTTGTCACTATAGAATAATGTCTCTACCTACATTTGTAACATTTTCATTCCAATTCAATCGGATACAAATACCTGAATGTCTTAATTATAATCTATTATGTATTGATTTATATTGAATTAAATCTGTTCTGTTTTAGAATGGTCCACGGTATAATGAATCTCCGGCGAGAAAACTTTGTGAAAGTTTTGATTTAGATACAGTTGATGGTAAAACAATCACAAATCGTCAGGTAACTAGCCAATACAAATGTTTAATCTTTTCGAATCATAAGCTAAATTAAGGAGTCTTAGGAAGAAAGAAGTGATTTTTTGCTGAAAAATCAGACTTGTAAGGAGTATTTTAAAATAACCTTTGATTAATATCTTTCATTTATTTTAAAACAACATTTTACAGCATACATATCGTGACCAATTGTTAAAATCAATGCCTAATGTATTATATACTTGCCTACCATTGGAAATACTAATTTACTACACATAGTAAATTGCGCACTAAAAATGCCAATAATAATGTGGTGATAGGTTTCTAGAGATTCAGATACTTTTTCTGATTAAAAATCTGCTAACAATAAACCTTGAATAAGATTCTTTGACTATCTGTCAACAAAATAACTAACGCTGTTAGCATTATTATTGATTGTTATGTGTCCTATCTAAATGCCTTTCCGCATTCTTTGTTCTCTTCAACTACTCTATCAGCACAGCAAACGAAAGTATCAGTTTGACTTTCGTAAATCAGTTGATTAATCTTTGATCCTGATGAATTAGTCTTGCATATTCTAAATTTGTTTGACACTTTTTTCCATGAAAGTGATCAAATCATTTATAAGTAATAAATAGTTTAGTGGAAAATCTCGATCAACAACGCAAACGTTTACGAGTAGAGTGTTTTGAGTGTGTAAAAATACTTAAAATTATCGTAGTGTTTTTCCTCTACTGGCAGTCGAGGTTAGTATGTACAGGGATTACATTGTTTGTTCATTCAACCATTTAAACAAAAACTAATAAATTATAAATTAACTTTATTTTGGTTTTTTAAAGTCTTCAAGATGGGCAATACGATCTACTTGTATGGTTACTTGTATCTAATTTTACTTGAATATATGTGATACATTATTTAACAGCAAATACGGTCTACTTTATCTGGCTTCTATATATATAAACATCGATTCATTCATAAACAGGTTTTTATCTTACATTTTAACATTTTTCACTCTGTTAAACTGTATCGCTACACTCCAGGTTAAATTTATGTAATTTACTGATAGAAAACCAAATATACACAAATAACTGATTCACTAATCATTGTATTGGTGATTTGTTCATCTAACCAGATTAATTATTGTAATTTAGTAATTTAGTCTTTCATGTATGCAAAAAATGCATGACTATATGAATAAATGAAGTATGTTTTGTGAAAAAAGACGGTTGTCTAATTGGCTTATCTTTAGAGGAATTGAATAAAATTAAATTAGATACAATCAGCATATAATATATCAAACAGATATTCAGCTACACTTTATAAGTAATACTATTAAACAAATATTTTAAATTAATATTATAAAATATCTATTCTTAAGCAACGAAATAAGAAACCAATCTTATAAAGTAAAAAACTACAATTAATACAATGTTTTTCACAACTTCAGTGATATTCGAAGGCCATAAGTCGATTTATGTAGAGTGGATAACAATTTAAATGACATGATGGAATGTTAGCAGACATTGTACACAAAAATTAACGCTTATTTAACAGCTTAAAAAGTGTATTGATGTTAAATTCTCACTGTACTAGTTGGAATCTCATTGGAATTATGCATGTCGTTGAAGTTGCAACTAATAATTAATCAATAAGTATTATCAAGGATGAAATCGTGGTGAATAACTTTCTATAGAGCACCTTCAACAACGATTGTCAAATGTAAGAACTTCAAGTAAGTCAATAAAACAATATTCGCACATAGTCATTCTGACAGTTAAATTTTGAACAGAGAATTTCTCATCAAAATTGTTCATATCAAGGCTAATCTATTGTTCAGTTAGTTTTCCAACATTCAACAGACATTTATGGATTTAGAAAGATTGAAATTATTTGCTTGGCAACATATAGAGTCGTATGTACATTTGTTTGCATCATTAAACCCTATAATTGATCAGTTGGATTAATGTATGTACTTTAATGTTTGGAGAGTTCTACTAAAAACTTTTACTTTATATCTACTAAGCTAGATGAAACAACATTGTGGTAGGGTCTATTCAATGAGATGTGGTAATTAGAAGAAGCTTATAGTTCAAAATTCAATGACTTTATTGACTTCAGTTGATTAATCAACAATTTTTTGCAATATAATTATTCATTGAATACGTTTACTGATTGTTCCATTTCTTAACCATACGGCTAAATAATATTTAATAAAAATTACTAAAGAATAAATATGTATATTTTTTGAATTATTAATTGTTCTTTAAACATTTAATTTCAACTAGTCAAAATTTAGCAGATCATGTTTGGTTATTGTGGTTTACTTTAGAAATTTTTCAGTGCAATGGGTAATGTTCTTCAGGGTCACGTGGCATACAAACGAAGTAAGGATGCCAAGTTCAAAGCATTCATTAGTATTGCACTTAAGTAAGTATATTTACTTAGAAGTCTTTTTAAAAAGTTTTAATAATACGTGTCGGAACGTTTTCCATAACCGTTTTTGATTGATGTATATTTGTAACAAGCCTTTTGCTATTTATGACCGACTCATACTATTATATGCATAATCTATTTGGAAAACCTTATTTATCTTCCATTATTTCTATTTTTAAGACATGAATATTACTTTTCATTTGGTTGTAAATTCTCACAAACTTCTAAAATACTGATTGACAATAGTTATTAGTATTTTCTGTTCTAAGATGATCTTGATTTCAACTGAATATTTAAAAAAAATTAATTTATTCATTATCAACAATTTTGATTATACAAAATCTTGTTATTCAGTCGGTTATCAAAGAGATTGTTTTTTTTCACTGTTTGACAAAAGACTGCATAAACTATTTCCAACCAACCAATAATCAAACTCTGCAAGCCATTTTACATTTAAACTCAATTATAAAGTCAAAAATATTGAAAAAATTTAATACTGATTAAATCTTGGTAATGTAGATGGATTTTACATTAACCGATGATATGGAGTAAAATCAAATAGGTCATGTAACGAAAGTGGATACGCGAAAATGTCTTACCTTGATCTATTGTTCGTGGCTTTTCTGTACAGAAATCTAAAATTTATTTCATTACAATTATTAATCAGCGACAGTGAATAACTAAAGTCCCAAATAACTATAATTTATGGAATACAACTATTTCTATTGACTAGGCGTTGTAACTTTTCAGACAGTGTAATGTAATGATTATAACAATAGTTTAGCTTTCTGTTTAAGAACTAAACTACCTTAATGGTGATTAAAGCATCTAAGAAGGATTATGTTAAAGTATTTGATGTGCTTGAATATCTGGAGTACCTATTTCTACCACCTAGATATTTCAAAAGTTATCTTTTCTGTTATTTTTAACACACCCCATACGTCTTTTAACCACACAGCCCATCAAGGCTCGTATATAAAACGTTTACGACCAATCGTCTTACATACCACCCAAAACACTGGAACAAATACAATTAAGTTTATGTTACCAACATTTTCGTGACTCCTTACTTCAGATCGACTACACTATCTGTTTTTTATTGATGTATTCACCAAATTTGTCGTAACTGCCTTCAATGGTTCATTTTCAACTACATAGGGTGGTTGTAATTCATCCGGTTGTAGCTTTCTTTCATCGCTAGATCACCAAAATGTAGTAGATTTTCTTACTCGTTCGGTTGTTCATTATAGATGATGATGTAGAAATATATATATGACTCGTAACATGTCCTATTGTTTAGCTCTGATCATTGTATTATTCGTGTTCCACCTAAATTATATGACAAGCTTGGAAAAAGCACACTCTTTTATCTGATAAAAAAAAGTTAAATACAGGAATTACTCAGAAGATAATATTCAAGATCTGAAAAACATGTTTCGTACGACAAACCTTAATTATTTACAAATGACTAATCGGAAAACACCGTATTTCAATTTTCACTGAAACTTATGTTCGAAAATGTCCCTAATTACTTTACTCGTCTCGATGTTTGGGACCTGACGAAATCTCAAACCTTCTTTTGAAGAGATGTGTTGACCTTCTGTGCCATCCATTCATAAGCATGTTTAACGAATCTGTCCTAACTAATTTTCTACCGAAAATACAGAGAAAGTTAAAAATAATCCCAATACCAAATAAAATATCTAGCGATAAGAATTTAAAATTTAGACCCGTAGCGTTAGCTTCACCTCTTCTCAAAACTGTGAAAGAACTATTGCTACTCTAATCTCAACCTGCATTCAAAGAGCATATTGATCCATATCAGTTTCCTTGCGTGTGCAAAATAAGTACCTTAGATTCTGTTGTTCTGCATCATAACGTAGTGTTCAGCTAGGGAAAGGTTAAGAAGTATATTCGTTGGGTCTTTCTAGATTGTACTTCTGCCTCTGGTTCTATTCCAAGACTGTTACTACTTAACAAGTTTATCAGCCTCAACACCGACAGCTGAATAACAAACTGAATGGGTTCTTTCCTCTGTAGGAAAACAGTATACATCTTTTGGAGGGAAGTGTTCAAAGTCTTTATTAAGTCAAGAAGGTGTGCCTCAACGAGCTGTTCTTTTCCCTTTTCGTCCTTCTTTTTTTTCTGCATGATGTGCCAACTTCCACAGAAAACACTTTTGTCAAGTATGCGGATGGTTTTATTGTATGTATACCGATTTCTACCTCTTCACATCCCCTTAAAATGGATGAGTTCATGTCCCGTATTGAATGGTGTTCTATTGTTAATAGTCTCACATTTAGCCCCACTAAATGCCAAAACGTTGACTTTAGTCTGAGACATGAAATGCATCCAAACACCCTGTTGGGATCCCATAGGGCTTTTGTCATTAGAGATTCCTTGATAAACACAGTGTCAACGGTCATTTACCTTAGTGTAATTATTTCTTCTGATCTCTCTTTGTCTTCTCATGTTTTCTGATATCGAAGAACGTTTTCCATCCGACCTACTATACAAAGAGGCTGCATGCTTTTGGGATTACTTGGCATTTCCTGGGCTTTTGAGAGAAAACTTTGCTGCATTGGGAGAGTGCTGAAGGCGGTTAGCAGGGTGTTTAGTGAATCTTTTGAGGTCACTATGAATAAGCTTGTGGATAGACATTTAAAATTTTCTAAATTCCCGAGAAGTGTAATCTTATCAAATACTAACCATCCACTTCATTCACATATTTTTTAGTCGTTTGACAATTGGGCAGCGTCTCTTCACTGGCTGTTAAGTTCCCTCAAGGTCGTTAATATTAGTATAATGTCATAATATTTTGTTCTAATAATTAAATGTATTTGTCAATTATAAAGTCGGAAAAACTCATTTCTAATAATTTCATTTTCAATTAGTTTATAATATGAAGAGAAATACTTTGCATTTGCAGTAAGTACTGTACATACATCATTAATTATTTCTTTAGAAAAGTTTAACAGTATAGTTTATCTTCCCTGTGACCAAGTATCAGTGACATATTTAGTAGTGAATACTAACTAGACTTAGTAAGATTAGTCAAATTGACTTGCTCTCTTAGTCGTTTTTATTATTTGTGTATAGTACTGTCCATTTAGAACCTTTTATCATTGAGTCTTCATAAAGAAAAGTATCAAGTTCATTTCCTATTGCATAGTTGTAAATAATCAACTGGAATAAGTGTAAAATCACTACACAATATCGTTGAATCGATTGACAACACAAATTGTTATGGATATTTGCTATCTTTCAAACAGAATGGCTAAAAGTGTCCGAACAAAATATAATGCGATTAATTTGCGTAAACTATGAGCAGACAAATAAGGTGTAAAATCGGTAATTCATATCAAGTTGTGGGCTAATAATAATTATATATTTAGATACATTTTTGGGTACGCAAGCAAGTCGAAATGATTGCCCACATATATTGGCATTATCTTGTTGAAACATTCAAGCTACAGATCTTCACAGACAAATAAACTTACACCATTAATAATAGGTCAGTTAGTTTGCATAAATAATTCCTTTCATTTCGAATAGACAAAAATATCGCCCAGTCACAGTTAAAACACCGATGTCCTTAACTAGAAAAACCATTCAATCGTGATCAATACTTAATTAACCACGCCAGCATCATTTATACACTCTTCAACAAGACCCAGTTTTTTTCAACTTGGTATTAGATTACAGATAAACGAACAAACGAGAACTATATAAGGCCTATCATAAGTGTTAATCGGGTCGAAACGTTATATTATTAGTACAATACTCAAGGTCATGGAAGTATTTGACATGAAAAGTGTACACGTAGTTCCCTCCGTTACACTGAAACGAGCGAACATAAATTAAGCTGAATAAAATTGATTCATTTTATGTTATTAGGTTCTCATTCACTACAAATGACCTATAATATTTCCCTACCAAAACTATAAGGTGAGTTAAAAACTTGTTAGGTAGTTCATGTAAACATAAATTCAACCAAATTTCTTTCTGTAAATATTTTTAACTTGCTCTGTAACTCAGTTTTTAAATGTTACAAATTGCAAGTAGTTGATAAGAGCCCGATACAAAAGCTTCATGTTTTTGTATACTAGAAAACTCTCACTTTGCTATATACTTTTAAACAGTTCAACCAGTTTTTTGACATCAAGAATCGTTTTCAGTTGCGAGGCCACCACAAATTAAGCACATGTATATGACAACACGATCTATTCATGGAATATGAAGCGCTTATAATGAAATATTGAAATACTGTACTATCCATCCTCTTGATGTCCACCAAAATTACAATATATCAGGAGACTCCTAAAGCCTAGATAAACGATCATTAAGGACCAGCATCTACGCCATTAGTAGTTAGTCATACATTTAGCTGATATGTAGAAGCGAATGCAGATTTATCTTTAGTTGGTTTTCACTAATTATCTTCCTTCCTAATGATCAGCAACTTATGGTAGTAATATTCACTGAATCTCATTATGATACCATCATTAATTCTAGCAGTCAAATCACTTTCAAATTAGTTAACCCACCAATCACTACCCACCTAAGTCTGCTATGGTATAGAGAAGCCAATATCAAATTCTGAACGTCCCATAAATTTGTTTGAACATCATTGTAAAATATTTGTTCTTATATTATATAGAACCTGTTTTATTTACCTTAAGTGAAGGAAAATTGGTCCCTTGGCTAAGAATGATCTTTCGGAATCATGTTTTTGTTCAATCTATATATGAACCATGGAGTTATACTTTGAGTACAGGTAACCGAGTTTTTTAATTGTTGTTTTATTTTTATAATCGTTGTAATTATTAGTTCCCTTTTTATGAAATACTTTCGATCAAAATTTAAGGATTTCATCACTAAAATTTGACTTCATGATTTCAAATTGATTAGTAGAAATGGTGCATCTATAGTATTTTAACAAGTAGAAAAATGGATTTCTAAAGAGTGGCAACAACGCCTAGATTTCATGAAGTTTAAACAAACTGAGAATGATAATCTTTGCAGTACAATGAATTGGCTTGAACTGGATTCACAGCTCTAGAATATTTAGGATAATTTTACCACTCAGTACCACAAAAATCCAGGAGGTTTAAAAAGAGAAAGACATTTAGTTAATCTTACTGGGTTGTGTCTATAATTAAATGAAGAATTAAAAATGAGAAAGATTAAAAAGTTCGTTTATTACATTGCTCGCTTCTGTTATCAATGGATTTAGACGTTAGTTAATAATATTTCTAAATACGAAGATCAAATCTCGTCACAGTGGATTTCGAGAATTTTTATTAAAATCCAGAAGTATAGTGTTTGTTGATCTCTGTAAATGGATTCGTTCCATATACTTTGAACTTCGTACCAAGCAGGTTACTGAACTAGGACGACTGTCTTTTCTTTACTGAATTAGGTTTTTGACTAGTCTTGTGATACAGAGACCAGCTTTTCTTTTATTCAAAGCTTTTCCTGTTGTTCAATTCTCCATTTTATCCAAACTATGATTTAAAACTCTTAGATATTTTTGTCTTTAAGTAAACAGATAACATGGAAACATTTCTTTAAGAGTTGAGAAACGGTACTTTTTTAGAGGAACTGTCGTGGTAACCACTGAACCATTACCACTATTTCAGTGATTGGTTTGATCAGAACCATTTATTGTGATAAGAAGTTTACTAAATTGAACAACGTATCCTTACAAATATATTGAGTTCTTTTCTCGAAGGTCTTTGACGAAAGACATCATTTCCTGCTTTTATTTTCCTATTTATTTGTAAAATTTTCTTTGACCAGTTACACAGTTTATGAAAGATTGGCAAAACTGTTGTACTAAACTTTATCATGGTAACTTTACGTTTTCCGTCTTTATTCTACTCATAAGCCGGAATATATTAAAAATCCCTGAATGACTATTCTCTTTTCACACCATCCAATATATAGTCACCCTCATTTTATCCATAAATAGGTGATTATATTTCAGTATGCATTTTTGAATTCCATTTCAGGTCATTTAAAATTGTATCTAAACTAACAACACCATACATAGTCAAAAAGACTATAAATGGTAAACCAAATAACATAAAAACTGACAAATCATATGCATATAAACTTTCTAAAACATTCACTAAAAGTTTTCTGTTGAGTCAACAGAAATGCTGGTAATACGTTTATATATTAATCAATTATTTCAGTGAATACTAAAATTAAGATGTAGATGTTACAAGTCTCAGTGATGTTCACGTGGATATATTAATGTCCTGTGATATTCCAAATTAATCTTTTCAAGTACGACGAGAAATTAAGTTAGTTGATAATACATAGACAGAGTATGTGTCCATAATCAGTGACAACTTGATTATTAGAATAATAGAATGTCCTTTGCTAAGGACTAGTAAAAAACCATTGTCACAGGTTTAATACATCATGTATCTGAAGGAAAAAATAATTCTACTGATATCATAGAAATCTTTAAAACTAGAGTCTATTATAAGATAAATACAAATAAAATGCAGCATCTCAGGCTACACCATTAGATGGCATAGACCCATATTAAAGTGGGAGGAACCCCGTTCTCTTAGTGGTTGAAGCAATAGCATTTATTGTCCTTCTTTTAATAGTCCCAAGATATCTAGAAATGAGAATATAGTCTTGTATCACAACTTTTCTCCGTTGTATAAGTTTCATAAAATCAAGTGCTCTGATAATGAAGTGTATGTTGTCTGTGGAAGCAAACAAGATTATGTTTTCATAAATATATGAGATAGTTTCTATTAAAAGGCATTTTGAAATTACTCATACTGGGTCAAAGTGGGGGAGTATTTATTTAACAAATTCATAAGTAGTTGGACAAGTAATGGAAAAAAATATGTATCAGAAGGGGTCTTGTGGAGATTGTAGTAATTTCAACAGTTGAGATCATGAGTCATTTGTGTTCGTTATAATAAGCAGAAATGGCTTTTACTTGGAAGTTTACTTACATTTATGTAAACCAGGATAACTGATTAATTACCGTGGTTTCATTTATGTTTTACTCAAGTGAAAGGATTAAATTCCTGCTACTGTACCACTTAACAATAGGTTTTGATTGGGAATCTATGATAATCACTAATCCTGTTAATTAGATCTTGTGTTAAGTTGATTGATAACCGTATATGAATCAGAAGAGGTGTGTATGTCTTTTCTGTAAAATTTTAATGTATTGATGAGTAATTGCTGGATAATATTCGTCACTTAGTTGTTGAGTAATGTCAGCTCTTTCTTTTCTCTTATTTTAAGATCAAACGAAAATCAAGGGTTCTCAGTATAACATTTAATCCGTTCAAGGTTCTCCATCTAAAATCTAATTTTTTACGATTGTTAGACTTTAGATACAAAAGTCAAAAAATATTTATGTGGTTATTACATAAATACACTCGTAAAGGTTTGTCTACACATTTATATGCATTACCTACTGGTGAAATGCTGCATTCGGTGCAAGGAATAACTTGTTATCATCTGTAAAATATTATGTATTATAGAATAAATACATCAATGTTTTGTGAATATACCTTAGCTATGAGAATACAATTCTGTGTCAGGCAATCTCTCCTTATTAGATTTATGTGTGGCAACACCACTTGACCACAAAACATTGGAAATAAATATCTAAAGTGGACTTAGCATCTATTTTATTGCGATTTTAAGTTGGTCAATTACAATAACACATCAATAGATGACTTGATAAAACTCAATTAGTTTAAATCCTATAATTAACAAAATATGAAAATCAAAGTGTAAATTTTCTTGGTCACATATTTTTCATTTTATCTCTTTGTTTTTAATTACTTCGTTGTGTAAGTAAATGATTTCGTCAAAACGAAAATTTTCTTCGCTGAATTCTCTTTTTCCGTTGTGTTCATTTCATTATTTTCAAATGAAAAGTTTTCCAATATAATTTCTTTATCATCAAATGGCTAAATATACAAATCGAAATGACAAGATAAAGAAAGTGACGAAATTTTAGGTTAATATTTTTTGTATCAATTCCGTATGAACTTCATTCATGAATTTTCATTCAATATGACATTTATATTACCTGTATCATTTCAGATGTACTAAATTCAGTATATGTTTTAAAGTAACTATATATTTTTTCTAATGTTTGATATTATTGTATGCGTAAAAATCGGCATATAAATGAGTGTATTTCGGTCTAATGACAATGTTTTTAGACGACTTGTTTTGACTAATCTTTTGGCTAGTCAATAAACCTTCATTTGGATTAGTCTTTTGCTCTGACTTCTCATCGTAGTAATTACAGTGGTTCCCATTTTTTTAAGCATAATCAGTAAGACCCGGGACATGACAAGGACGAGCGAGTTATAACACAAATGTTTACGATATTGAGCAAGTCAGTAAATTGTTTATGACAGTCTTTACTTAAAAATGTACTGATTCAAGGATAATGTTAATTGTTTTGTCATGGATTGAATTCAACGTAAATATTAGCAACCTCCAAGTAGCTGACTCAGTTTCAATAACATTTTTAAAATCAGAAAATTTTAAATTACTTTTCGAAATAAAATTCAGTTGTTCGGGAACCATATGGAACTAGATGGTGTTTGGCCAAACAGTTTAGATTTAACTAACATTGTAAACCAACATTATTCAATGAAATCAGCTGTCCCGAACTGAATGATTATTGGTGTAAATAAACCAGAATAAAAAATAATTCAATAAAGAATTTTCCTTTATTGTCCTTTATCTAATATCCTGTTTTATTTCTCATGTAAATAGGATTCAACGATACTCTACAGTCATTAATTAAATTAAAGGATCTTGAATTCGCTCTGCCTTATGATTACAGTATTCGTCACTTAAAAGAAATGCATGATGCCTTCTAAACTGCGAGATGCATTTTTAATATCCAATGCTAGTGCTATTCTTTTTTTTCATTTCGTCTTTTTTCTTCATGTCCAGTGATCATTATATAAACTAACAAAAATCAACATTTTATTGTTTATCATTTGTTTGAAAGTGTAAGTATTTCTTATATCTATCTACCTATCTACCTATATTATTATCTTTATATATATATATATATATATTGTATTTGTAATATTTTTGTTTATTTCTTTTGTTGATACATTATCTCACCTTAAGCATAACAATACATTTAACTCGTGTATTAACATTTGTTTATATGTGTGATTGGAGCTTGTACTTTGATTTAATCAACCATATTATTGTCTACATTTGATCGAAAATTGATGATTGTTGTATGATAAACAGATCTACTGCAGATATATTTTGAATTCTTTATATTATGTTTACAAAAAGATTAAATGTTTATTTATTTCCATATTTTTGAGATTTAATCCGTATGTCGTTTTGTAATTATGAAAACTATTTCGTTTATTCTCTTCACTCTACTTTCGGGCCTCAACAAGGCATAAATAAACTCTAAACGTTAGGCTTTGTCTGTTAATTTAAGTAATCATTTATTATTTCTCAAAGATTACGATGAAAATGATGAAGTATTTCCTACGGAGATTCCACTGATTAGGATTCTTTAGTTTGATTTCTAAACTATTTTCCAACTCTAAACTTTAAGTTAGGTAATGGGATGAAATAAAATCGTAGTTAATTTATTGAGAATTTCATACACAGCTGTAATAAAACTATATATTTTTCTACCGAATGTCGAATTAATGAAAAAATTCATGCTTTACTAAAGTCAGTAGCTGAACTTTTGTATCTCATAGTCAGAAAGTAAGCTTTACGGTTCTAGATTGGTGAAAATGGGGAGAAACAACCATTGCTTTTTAATTCATCTTAAATTGTCAATAATCTGTTTTTACATATGAATGATCGTTAAAATGAACAACAGCAGTGTACATTTAATAATCACTTGTTTTTTATGCGTCTTTTATAAATGATTGTATATCGAGAGTCTGATATTTTCTTAAACATGAACTATAAGTAAAATTTTCGCCAATATAGTATGTTTTCCACAACTCTGAGTAACTAATCTATTTCTATAGTGGAGTTACCGTGTAATTTACATTGAGAATATAAATATTCATTACAAATAACAATTAATTAATCAGGAAAAATGTGAATACTTCTATAATACGACGAGCGTTTAAAGTGAAAGACATAGGCCGTTAGTCACAGTAGGAAAATCAACACGAAATTGGATACATTCAGCTGATGACCCCTAAATCGAAAGAAACAGACGACTTGAATTATACTGCTAGCCACTAATCAACTGTACTAGATCTTGATAGGCTTAAAATTATTATTTCGATGAAGTGTATGATAAATAGTGTTTATCAGAATGGGTTTTTGTGGAGAGTTTTAGAAATTTCACAGGTTGAAATCATGAGTCAGTTGAAGCTAGACATTAACACCGTTGGATGCCGGCTCAGTGGTCTAGTGGTTAAGTGCTCGCGCGCGAAGCCAGTAGGTCCTGGGCTCAAGCTACGCGTGGTGCGGGATCGTGGATTCGCACTGCTGAGGAGTCCCATACCAGGACGAAACGGCCGTCCAGTGCTTCCGGGTTTTCAATGGTGGTCTAGCTTCAACTGACTCATGATTTGAACCTGTGAAATAGTGTTTAATTGTTTGTGCCGAAAGCTTTTGTTTATGCAAAATCCCACCTTCTGTCATAAATAGTATCGGTCAAAAATTGATCTCATTTAATGAACCATTAAGAACCAGACAGCACTGAATACTCTACGGAGAACGGATACCCTAGAAAGCTTATAATTAAATATATGATCACGAAGGTGAAAATAGGCGAAATACAAACGGTGAATAAGAAATCCCTGTTCATGCGCCTATAATTTAGACGGGATGCGACTAACGAAAAATTAACTCAGAGATTACACAGAACAATCCAAAAATCTTTAAACGCTGGAGAACTATGATTAGTATTTTATACGCGCCCAATGGTGGCACAGAGACTACCTAGAATGACCACCCGATTTGGGATTTATCAGTTCGACTGCTTCTGTGGAGCAAGTTATATTGGTCGAAGTTCTAGAAATTTACATCTTCATGCTCGCGAACACCTTCAAGCGTGGCTAAGCAAAGGTCTGGTGAAGAAAGTGAACAGCTCAATATTGGCCGATTTAGTGCAAATTGGTCATAAACCAATCCATTTTCTATTATTTATCGGCTCAGTAATTTTTTGCCAAACCTTGTCAGACTTAAAGTCCTTCAAACGGCTGAAACAGTAGTCATCCGGACTAAGAAAGTGGAGCTATGCGTACAAAAGAAATCTTCAACCGCTTCTCTTCCCCTGACCAACCTTAAGGCCAATTAGTCAATAATAATCTTAGATATGGAATGACCTAATTTGACTACTGTACATAGGACCTTTCATAGTCAAATCTTCGTATTATTATTACTATTGTCATTATTGTTATTACTGTTATTACTATTTGTCAAAAATTATTAATCTCCTCAATACATGATTCATTTACTTTGCATTCATCTCAACTTATTATGTTTTAGTGGCCCTGTATCTAACTCCGGGTCGATCGTATGAACCATCATTATTGAGTGATTGCTGTCGAAGTATACATATCCTTTCATATAATTATCGACTTAACTCGTGTTATTGAATAACGGAATAAAATAAGTCAAATACGAGAATGGATACTTAAATACGTATATTTTGTACACCCATTGATCCGGACAGACAATCAGAGGGACGATGTGCATTGAAGACGTGTGAGCCAAGCGTTAATCGATATTTATAGCCGAACAAAAATAAGTTAGAGGCGTGTGATGAGTAAGATAAGAAATGCACACACATATGCTTACTTAAAAACAGTCAAAGTTGATAAGCGAATAAATAACAAGGTCAAAATGTAAGATGAGAGCAATGGATACATTGGTTTGGTCAGATGCTAGAATAAGTTGTGTGGGCTCGACATAAGTCACTACAGTGTCTTGCTACTTTTTTATGCAATAGTCTTCCATTGAACATTTGATCGAACTGTGATTGCACTATTATTTCTCTCACCCTATCTGACCCACATTTATTCTGATCATGGGTCTTAAAATTTTCACTGAACATATAAGCTAAATCAAGATATGAGTCATATCAACACTACCAATTTTATTCTATTTTGTTTGACAATCCTAAATTCACATGCTTTAGCTTTAAACGATGCACTTTGCCTTAAACCTGGCCATTTCCCGTATTATTAATATAGATATATAATTGTAGAACCAGAATAGAATTTATCGAAAAGAATATTCGTCGTTCAAATAGTTTTTTTAATATGATGGGGGTCTTTAAACAATTATTTTATACGTTTATATAAACTTAAAATATGTCAAGCTTACACAGCGACTTAATCAGACATTAACGAAACGGCAAGTGAATGTGAGTGGCCATATAATGGCTTGGATATCTAAGGGATGGGGCATATGGCACTGGTGACTTTATTGTCTAGGTTATATATATGTATATAAATAACTGCCGTACTGTAAATTAAAACAACACATACCAGCGAACAACATTGTTTTCAATTGGATCCTCACCGGCTTTCACTCTAATACACAGTAATATTTATAAGCATATATGGAAATATTAAACCAGCTAAGGCAGTTCATGAGTCAGTGATAACAATGAAACAGATTGCATAATAACTAAGTTTAAATTAATAATTTGACAACAGGTTCATTGGTTGTAATAAGAACAATAAAAGCTTGAATCAATGTACGTCAAAAACTTGTAAAAATAAACATTGAAATGATTTGAAAACGCCCACATAAATGAATTTAGTTACAAGTTGTTTTGAATACACATTATCAGTATTTTCATTTCATTTTGTAAATAGGAATATTTTAAATATGATACAGGTTGTAAGAAGCTAATCATAACCTAACCAAACAAAACGGATTCATGTTATCTTGCTCAAACTTTTGTGCCTGCTCTCTTTAGTGTGATAAAGGGAACTATGTATATGATATTGTTCTTTTTTTAAAGAAAGGAAATGAAACTGATGTTTTGAAAAGTGTTCATAACCATACGATCCAATACAAAGAATATTTTTGATTAAAATATGTTAATAGGTATATTTCAAATTCTCAAATGAGTATACAAACTCCTAGTAAGACACATTTTGAAGAGTTAGTAAATTTTGTATAATTTCTAAAGTTAGCATAGTGAACTTCTATAATTTATGTGAACAAGTGTAAAACAATTTGTCTTTTCATATTCATATGGAATAATTTTATAACCAATGACAACTAACATTCACTTTAGTTAAGGAGTCACAAATAATGAGATACTTGAACTGGTGATATATTCTTTAAGTAAATGACATTTTAATGGTGAAAAAAAGAATACTTACTAAACCAAATCGGATAAATCACAGGATACTTTTAAGTCTAAAGAAATTTTAGTGGGGCCTTTTATTTTATCGTCATTTAGATTGGACGATATTGTTGAAGGGCTCACCACTTTAGTGGTGAGGGATCTGATTCCAATCAGATCGTATGAATGATTGCTGTCGAATTGTACATGTCGCCTATCCTCGTATATAATCATCGACTCAAATCACGTTAGTCAATAACGGAATTAAATAAGTCAAATACGAGAATGAATTTCAAATACATATATTTCATACCATCTTTGATCCAGACGAAATATCAGACAAGCGAATGGAATAGATCTAAGCGAAAGGACGCGTAGTGGAGACGGCGGATAATCCAACTCCATTTTGTCAAGCGTTAATCAATATTTATAGTCACATGAAAATAGGTTACAGAAATGTGATGAATAGGATAAAAAGTGTACACACATATATGCGCTCATATAAAAACAGTGAAGAGTGATAATCGAAAAATTAACAATGTCAAAATATGACTCATATAGAATGAA